ACTGACAGTTTAGGCCCACTCCCCACCTAAGCTGGCAGTCGGACATCCCCCGAGGGCTCCTGGACTGCGAGAGGGCGCAGGTTGGGCTGAAGGACCCCCCACCCGAGTGCACAGATTTTATGGACCGGGCCTCTCGTCCTATATGTCAGCCCTGGGAGGGAGCCTGAAAGAAGAAACCAAGGGGTCGGTGGTGCTTTACGGCACCAGGTGGCAGTGGCAGCCTCAGTCAGACTCGCACACACTGGCTCTGATAGAATGTAGGTGCGAGGAGGAGGCCGTGGGATGCATATAAATACGGTTATTTGCTTTGAAGAATGAACTCATACTTTTTCCTGACAGAAAGCAAATTTGATTTGGCTGCTCTACCCGGCAGCAAGCACTGGCTTTGTCACTTAGATTATGTGTATTTTCTACAAACTAAATTAGTTCTATAAATTTAAAATCTATTTGGAGTATGTGCTACAATCATTGTATTTATTTTTGTTAATCCTCACCCAAGGACATTTTCCCATTGATGTTTAGGGAGAGTGGAAGAGAGAAGGGAAGACAGAGAGAAACATCCATGTGAGAGAAACACATTGTTGGTCTCCTGCATGCACCCCGACCAGGAGCCTGCAACCAAGTACATGTCCTTGACCAGAATTGAACCCTAGACCCTTTAGTCTGCAGGCCAACGCTCTATCCACTGAGCTGACTGACTAGGGCTAAAATAATTGTATTTTAAAAGCAGACAAATTTCCTAGAGTTCTGTGGGCAGGAAATGGACCCCACGGTGGGAATGAGTGGGGCCGTTTCTGAACGGGGCCCCTCCTGCGGGTTTCCTGTGGGAGAACAGGCCTCGGGGATATTTGCTTTGAAGAATGAACTCATACTTTTTCCTGACAGAAAGCAAATTTGATTTGGCTGCTCTACCCGGCAGCAAGCACTGGCTTTGTCACTTAGATTCTGTGTATTTTCTACAAACTAAATTAGTTCTATAAATTTAAAATCTATTTGGAGTATGTGCTACAATCATTGTATTTATTTTTGTTAATCCTCACCCAAGGACATTTTCCCATTGATGTTTAGGGAGAGTGGAAGAGAGAAGGGAAGACAGAGAGAAACATCCATGTGAGAGAAACACATTGTTGTTCTCCTGCACGCAACCCGACCAGGAGCCTGCAACCAAGTACATGCCCTTGACCAGAATCGAACCCTAGACCCTTTAGTCTGCAGGCCGACGCTCTATCCACTGAGCTGACTGGCTAGGGCTAAAATAATTGTATTTTAAAAGCAGACAAATTTCCTAGAGTTCTGTGGGCAGGAAATGGACCCCACGGTGGGAATGAGTGGGGCCGTTTCTGAACGGGGCCCCTCCTGCGGGTTTCCTGTGGGAGAACAGGCCTCGGGGAGGGGGCGGGTACAGAGTGCCAGAGCCCACGCTCCCGGAGCAGCCACCGGAGCAGGAGCAGCAGCCAGAACCTGGGCAGTTTTCTTGTGGAGACATCTGTGAAGTAAAGGCTCAGTCACAGGCCACAGTCACACTCAGGGGCACCTGCCCTCCTGTCCCCACTCTGCTCCGCGGCCCCAGGAGAGAGGGACAGGCGAGGAGGCGGAGAAGAAGGGGATGGGCATCCCCCCTCCAGAACGCCGGGTGCTAGACCCATAGCTGCTCCCACCGGGGAGGGAGACGTTGCTCCCGGACAGAGACGTGCAGAAAAGCAAAACGGAGCCATTCTCTCACATCATCTACAAAATAAACTCCCAACAGGCTACAGGTTCCGTGCAAGGCCTAAGGCCTGAAAGCATAAATCTCCGAGAAGAAAGCACAGCAAGCAACTATCTGACGTCCGTCTGCGTGACATCTTTTTGGACACATCCCGTCAAGCAAGAGAACAGAATAAAAACAATCAATCGGAACTGCATCAGACTGAAAAGCTTTTGCTCAGCGAAGGAAACCACCAACGAAGTGAAAAGACCGCCGACAGACTGGGAGAGCTTATTCACAAATGGTATGTCCAATAAGGGGTTGGTCTACAAAATAGAGCGTAAACTCACACAACTCAATCACACACACACAAAAATAACAATCCGATCGAGAAATGGCCAGAGGACGTGAAAAGGCATTTCTCCGAAGAGGACATACAGATGCCAGCAGACCTGGGAAAGAGGCTCAGAGGCACTAATCAGCAGGGAAAGGCAAGTCAAACCCACAGTGAGATGCCGCCTCACACCTGGCAGAGGGGCTACCATCAGGAAGTCCACAGACACACATGCTGGGGAGGATGTGGAACGAAGGGAGCCCTCGTGCACTGCTCAGGGGAGTGCCAACTGGTGCAGCCACCGTGGGAAGCAGCATGGCGATTCCTCAAGCTACTAAAATAGAATTACCCTATGACTGAGCAATTGCATTTTTGATATTTACTCAAAAAAACAAACACACACACACACACACACGCACACACAAACAATGAGAACACTGATTTATCTGCAGCCCTACTTTCTCTACAATAGCCAAGGTAGGGAAGCAGCATAGGTGTCCATCAATAGATGAGTAGATAAAGAAGTTGAGGTGGCCTGGCCAGCGTGGCTAGGTGGTTGAGCATCAACCTATGAGCCAGGAGGTCACGGTTCAATTCCCAGTCAGGGCACAGGCCCGGGTTGCGGTCTTCATCCCCAGTAGGGGGCGTGCAGGAGGCAGCCGATCAGTGATCCTCTCTGATCATTGAGATTTCTATCTCTCTCTCCCTCTCCCTTCCTCTGTGAAATCAATAAAGATATATTTTTTAAAAGAAGATGAGGTATATGTGTACAATGGAGTACTACTCAGCCATAAAAAGAATGAAATCTTGCCATCTGTGACAACATGGCTGGATATAGAGGGTATCATGCCAAGGGAAATAATACTAGGCAAAGAGAAATCCCATGTGAGTTCACGTATATGCGGGATCTAAAAACAAAACAAAACATAACCAGACCCATAGGAACAGAGACCACAGGCTGGTTACCAGAAGGGAGGGGGGAGTGGGGTGAGCAGGGGAAGGGGAACAGAGTCAACAATATTGTGATGAGTGCACAGGATGAAGATGGCACTAGAGTCAGGGGGTGATCACATTATACGGTCGAAAAATCCCTATATTGTACACCTGAGACTAATATACCCAATATAAGATTGCATACCAACTAGATATTTTTTAAATAAAATTTAAAAAATAAAAATACATAAATAACGCCAGGTTTTAAGTGGACCCTTGTCTGAGGCACATCTGACACCCTTGCTGGTGGACATCACATGCTGTGTTGGTATCAAAAGCACAGAAAGACACACAGTTTAAACATTGTCTCAGGGAGTCCTGTGCGCTGCGCTACCTGACCTGGGTTTGGGTTTGAAGACCACTGTCTGTGCTGGACACGCCCCCAATGGGCGGGGCCACTGGAAACCAGCAGGGCCCCGCCCCCTCTGTGACTCCCCAGGCAAGGCGGGGCCCTGCTGACCAAGAGGCTGGATAAGACAATCCCCCCACATTTTCAATTCAAACTGCAATTTGTCACTGAATAGAAGACAGGTGAGGAAGGACTTAGGACAGAGAGTCAACTAATAAGTAGATAATCGATCACAATTTTTTTATGTGACTTCAAAATAAAAATATTTGGAGTGACCCCCGGACGCTCACGACCTGACTGGCCATGCAGGACCCTCGGCAAGCCGCGTCCAGCTGCAGGAAGATGCAGACCCTGACCCTGGCCCGTCTGACCCACGGAAGGCAAGGAAGAGCGAGGTAAAACAGCGGGGAAATCTGAACACGTGTTATCTGAGTCCGGTCGGAAAACCGCCAGTGAAATCATTGAGATCACGCAGATTCGCTGAAATCTCTTGCAGGAAGGAAAAGGATTTCAATCAAGAGGGCGGGACATTCTCATAGTATCAATACTGGCCCCAGCCCCGAACCCACCTCGAGCCGCTGCACGTGCCACATGGGGGCTCCCACGATGGCCGCCACCAGCCAGACCACACCTGTAACAGGGCACAGTCATCAGAATACGACTCAGCCGAGCAAAGCACGTCGTGCTCAGTCCTCTAAGCATTCAGACTCCAAGGCCCCGTGCACCCCGTCACCTCCCCAGGAGCCGTGCAATGGTCTCACCTCCACCCTCTCAGCCCCCTCAAAAGTGCTGCTGGAAGAGTCTCCCTAAAACACATTTCCAATGTTTGAACATCGGTAACAGTGTCCCATTGCCTCCAAATAAGACCCGACTCCCTGACAAGGGTCTTTGTCATCTCACCCACCTCCCGCTTCCCTCCTACATGTCAGTCCATGTACCGAGTCCCCTCCTGGGGTACAGAGCTGGCTTCCGTCCCTGCACCGGAAGGCACCATGCTGCTCCGCGCCTCCACGCTGTCCTCCCAGATCGGCACCTGCTCGCACGCTCTCTGTGCACTCCTGCTCCAGGACTTGACTCAGAGCTACCTCCTCTAACAGAGCTTCCTGGGCCACTGCCCTGTCCAGCTAGAACGGGCCACCTGGATTCTCCCAGCCAATAGGGGCTGGTTGGATGAATGAAAAACTGAAGCATGACACAGATCACCCTCTACAATTTCTTCTCGAAGAGGAAGGTCCGTTTACCTTCGCCGCCCTCAGATGGGCACTATTTTCCTATTTACGTAACAGACACAACAGCAGACACCGGGAGGCTGTTGGGAGACTTGCTTTAAGGGTGGGCCTTCGAAAGGAGCAAGAGAACCTTCAGAGCCTGGGACGGGCCGGAACCAAGAGCCCAGCATCTACTGCAAGGAAATCTTCCCGCTCCCACGCCTCTGCTCTTCCCATATGAGCAGGACCATAGGGGCACCGTGCGTTGTCTTGGGTTCAAGGAACCAAGGAACTGAGACTCACTTAAGCCACAGCGGGTTTTTTATAAGGACACACACCACCTGGCACACTGCCCAGAGAGCCTGTATGATTCAAGACAGTTCTCTCTCTCTCTCTCTCTCTCTCTCTCTCTCTCTCTGTCTCTCTCTCTCCCCCTCCTTCCCCCTCCCTGTCTTTCATCCCTCATTTCTCTATCATCTGTCTGTCTCTCTACCTTAAAAAGAACTATCATTTATCATCTATCATCTAACTATCTATCTACCTATCATTTATCATCTATCTATCTATCTATCTATCTATCATCTATCTATCTATCTACCTCTCTATCTATCTATCTATCTATCTAACATCTATCTATCTCTGCACATGGCCAGGTACATCTATTCTACCCCATTCCTCACTGTATTACGTTACCTTGTGTCCAGTCATTTCTCCAGCCATCAGTAGTGCTTGGGCAGAGTTGAGTCTAATTGGCTTAGCTCAGTGCCAATCCCGGGTGCAGGGCGGGCTCAGGGGCAGACGCCTAAGGCTGGGGAAACACTGCGGAGGGGTCTGTGAGCTCTGAGCAGGGAAGTCTGGCATCTGCTGCTGGGGCAGGTGCACAGTCATGGCTGGAGGCGGGAGAGGGTCCTGGGCACTCTGAGCAGGACCCGCCTGGACTGCCTGTTACCAACTTTGCTTCAGATGGCCAGCCCGCTCTGTGCCTCTTTCCTTTTAAATAACTCCGTCAAGTGCTGCGCGCCGGGCCCTCCGTCCACACCACCCGCTGCCTCTAGATGTCCTAATGGTGAACGGCTGCCAATTACTAAGAGCCAAGAGGCCTTTGAGTTCTTTGTGGGAAGGATGAGACATACATTTGGGATGAACTAAAACGAGCAATTTTGTCCCGCCTGGTTTGTCTCCTTGAAATGAGTGGCTTTCGGAAGCCCTGGGCCCCTGGAGAGCGCGAGAAAGGCTGGCCCCCCCTCCCGCTCTCTGGGTGGTCACTTTGCTAGTAGCTGCTCTGGGAGAGCGGAGCTTGTTTCGCCTAATGCACTCCACGCTGCGAGGGGCCGGGCTGTAAACGGCTGGACGCAATGATGGGGAGAGTCCCCCTGTGACTGCAGCTCCGGGACAGGATGTTTCCCTCCAGGGCCCACTCAGCAGCCTCGTGGACGGACACAGGAAGCCAGCTGCCCAGTGGCTGTGTCTGTCAGGGTCAGCAGCACCCGCCCCAGTGTTCCCGCGGCCCAGCCTTCTGGGCAGCACCCCGTTCTCTGCTTTTCTAAACACACTGTTCCTGCCCCTGTGCGTACTGGGCATCGTAGCCACCTCTGGGGTTGGGGAGTCATAAGGACTGTTCCCACAGCCCTGCCACCATGGGCTGGCTTAGGTCACACCAGCCCGCTGGGAAGGTTGAGCCCTAAACCGAAGGGGCACATCTGGAATGAGAGGCATGGTGCTGGGGTGGGCCCGGAGGGGAGGGGGAGGGAGAAGGGAAGGGGGGGTTGGCCTGGAGAGGAGAGGTGAGGGTGAGTGGGCCCCAGGACATGGGGGAGGGTGGGGAGAGCCCAGAGCGAACTGAAGCTGGATCACCTTCCCTTTGCGCCCGGGCCCTCACCTCCTCACCCTCTTATCCCCTCACTCCCTCACCCCCTCACCCCCTCACCCCCTCACCCAGCGTGGTGAAGGCCCTGCGGTTGGTGTAGCGGCACTTGGCTCGGAGCGGGTGCACCAGGCCTTGGTGCCGCTCCACGGCGATGCAGGTCAGGGTGAGGATCTCCGTCACCACGGCCGTGCACTGGGCGAAGGGCACCATCTTGCAGACGAAGGCACCTGTGGCCGGGAGACAAGGGACACATCAGAGGGGGGACGCTGGGGAGGGAGACAAGGGACACCTCAGAGGGGGGACGCTGGGGAGGGAGACAAGGGACACATGAGAGGGGGGACGCTGGGGAGGGAGACAAGGGTTGGGTCTGCGTGGGGATCCTTTCACGCTGAGCCTCCGTCAAAGGCTCTGTCTGCAGCTACACCACAGAGCGCCGTGGCCCAGAGGGTACCCGCGGGCAGGTGGGCTCCCTGAGGGGCTTCTGAGCTGCCGGGCTGGGGGACCCAGGAACGGAGCGGTGACAGGGCCTTTGAGACCGGCAGCAGCAGGTGGCCTGGCCCTCCCTGCAGGGGAGGAGGGGGGATGTGGGAGCAGCCTACTGGGCCCCACAACCTTTGGTCCTTCCCTCGGGGACCTGCCAGTCGCACACAGGACCAGCTCTCCCCAAAGACGCCCACACCCCTATTCCTCGGCTCTGCTCCTCAGACCTCCTGCCCGAGACTCCGCCTGGTCACCCAGTTCCTCCCTCAGCGGCTTTCACTTTCTCTGTCTTAAGCCCGTGGCCCGGGCAAGGCCTGGCTGCAGACGTGGCTGCGGTGATATTGTTCCGGATCTGTGCGCCCACTGCAGCCTGATGTGTCTGACTCTTCGTGTCTGTGTTTGGAGCCTGGCCTGCCGTCTCCATGGCAGATGCGTCTTGTTCGTTGCCTCCACATGCATTGCTCTGCACAGTCACCTGGGCATCAGCTCAGGGACAGAGATCGCTGAGAAGGCCTGTGGGCCACACTGTCCCCACACTGAAGCCCATCCCCCTCCCCTTTCCTCAAATGCGCTGCCACGCTCTGCTGGGTGGGTTCCCCGCAGGCTCACCCCTCCCTCCCTTCCTTCAGGGGAATGACCTCCCCAGTCCCACCCTCACGTCCTGCCCTGGAGTCTTTGCTCAGATGCCACCTTCTCAGTCGGGCCAGCCCACTGTCCCCTCCCTCTTCTCAGTCCCCGGTCTCTCTTATTCCACTCGCCCCCCTCGCTCTGTCGCCTGCCGGCCTGTCTCCTGCCCTGACAGTTGGTTTTATTGTTTGCTGACCGTCCCCGGACCTCTGAGAAGGTAAACACACCGAGAGCCAGGCTTCTGCCCCTTCATGCGCCCAGGCCCGGGTACCCACAGAGGCTCTCAGCGAGCCGCCCTGAGGGAGCCACAGGAGGCTCTCAGCCACCAGGGGCCTCTCTTCCTCCTGGGAGAGGCCGCCTGGAAAACGCCGCTGTCCAGTGAAACTGCCCCTTCTCCTGCAGCTCTCAGGGAGTTTCAGACACACTGGCCACCGTTTCCTTACGACTCTTCCCAGCGGCCCCAGCCGCTCCTCAATGGTCCAGGGGGAACCCCGTGCACAGGGGGGGCCTGGCTAATGCAGAAACCTTACAACTGCCCTGTCTTCCTGGGTCTACACATCCTCTTCAGTGACTGCGCCTGAAATGTCCACACATTTTGTGCTAGAGTTTCCAAATGCCCGCTTTACACTGAACTTGGAATCATACTTGAAACGAACGAGGTCCATGTAATAGACAGTTTCTGTGACTCTGAGATTCCTGGGACTCAGGGGAAATGCATTTAGGTGTTGCTCCCAGTACTGCCCTTCCTGCCCTTCTCCAAAGCTCCAAAGGGCGACCAAGAGCCAGTCACCGCCCCAACCCTGGTCCAGTTCCCCAAATCCTAACCCTGCCCAGTCAAGGCCTCTCTTGCCCGGCGCCATCATTTAGAGCAGTGGTTCTCAACCTGTGGGTCGCCAACCTGTGGGAGTCGAATGACCCTTTCACAGGGGTCACCTAAGACCATCGGAAAACACATATATAATTACATATTGTTTTGTGATGAATCACTGTGCTTTAATTATGTTCAATTTGTAACAATGAAAATACATCCTGCATATCAGATATTTACATGACGATTCATAACAGTAGCAAAATTACAGTTATGAGTAGCAACGAAAATAATTTTATGGTTGGGGGTCACCACAACATGAGGAACTGTATTAAAGGGTCGCGGCATTAGGAAGGTTGAGAACCATATATGTTTTCTGATGGTCTTAGGCAACCCCTGTGAAAGGGTCGTTCGACCCCCAAAGGAGTCGTGACCCACAGGTTGGCGACCCACAGGTTGAGAACCGCTGGTTTAGATGCTAAGTGCAGGAATTTCCTTTCGATACTAGTACATTTTGTGGTTTGAACACTGCTCCTACTGTGAATGAAGTGGCTTTACTTCAAATCCTGTTTCGTATGTGATACTTGTGTAAATGAGCATGCGAACACATTCCTTATCTGCACACTCATCCTCTCTTTGAAATTCTGGTGAGAATTTCTCCTATTCTTTCAACCAAGTTGTGTTGTTATTTTCTTCAGGTGGACAGTCCAAGGTTAAATGAGCATCAGAAGACACGTTCCGTGCAATGGACACGGAACCATCATCACACAGCTCAGGCATAACTACCCCCAACAAATGAGAATGACCGTCGCAGTGGCGTCTCCTTGTAGCGCTATCCATCTTGTCCATCGTAATCGCGTGGGTCATTGGTCCCCTGCCTGCCCGGTGTCATCTGATTCACCCAATCTCGGTGGTAGGTGCCCTGAAACCCAATGTCACCCTCTGTGAAAAGGGACAGATAAGACCCACCCGTCCCGTGAGTACATGTGAGTACTTCACACAGTGCGATGAGTACCCGGGACCGGATATGTGTTTGAATAAATGCCAGCTTTTCATCATCCTCAGGCAGCCAGGCTAAAGCACTGAGCTCAGGGTGGCACAGTGGAGGTTGGCAGGTTGCTTGTGGCTCACCTGCTGGTACAGGACACCTCGTTCTATAGGCTTATTTCCCAGTGACGGTGCCGCAGGGCAGAGGAGAGGTGCCTTCCTGAGGGCACGCAGCTGTGTGTGACCGCGTGGAGCCAGGCCCAGGTCCCGGCGCCCTGTCTCAGTGCAGCGCTCGCCCATTTGCTCACATGTCACCTGTTCCGTAGTCCGCGGGACAGGCCTGCAGCAAACCCTCGTTCTACACTCTGTCATCTTGCCCTTGTTAGGAATCCAGACAGCATCCGCCCAACGCACTACTTCTCACGTTTCTCCGAGCAACTTGCTCAGAAGCCGGCAACGCTGGTCACCTCCAAACTTGGTCGCATCCCTGAATCCGTCCATGTCCTGCACGGAACTGATCTCGGCTGAAGGCCCGAGTTCTTCTAAAAGGCAGGTAGGTGCTCTTCGGCTCCCTCCCCATTTCTCTTGATCTTTGCTCCTGTTCTAACCCGCCCTGCTTTGCCCCTTTTAACTCGGGGATCGTTTCTCAAGGTCTGACGGCTTGGAGCGAGGGAGGCCCCGAGGACTTCCGTTTTGTCCCTGCCCTTTACGACATGTCAACCCGACCCTCCCTTCGCTTTTAGCTCCTGTTTCCGGTGGCTCTTCAGTGCGCTCCCTCCACACCTTGGCCTCCCCATGGACTCGTGCAGGTCTAAGCTGTTTTGCAGGTATGTGTCCTTTGTGACGTTTCTTCCCATAAATGGCAACCTATGGGAAGTCCTGGCCCAGTGGCTCCCCTGGCTGAGTGCAGTCCTGTACACCAAGAGGTTGGGGGTTCAATTCCCGGTCAGGGCACTTGTCCAGGTTTTGGGTTCAATCCGAGGTCAGGGATCAGGGAACATATGGGAGGCACCCCATTGATGTTTCTCTCTCTCTATGTTTTTCTCTCTCTCTCTCTCTCTCTCTCTCTCTCTCTCTCTCTCTTCCTCCCACCTCCTCTCTCTCTCTCTCTCTAAAAATCAATAACAACATATCCTCAGGTGAGGATTAAAAAATAATAATAAAAATAAACTGGGGTAATCCTAGAATTCCTGGTGTAGGGCACTGTTTCTTGGGATGCCCTTCCCTTTTTCCCTCTGAGGCCGTCAGGTTTTAAGTCAGTGTAGCCTGCCTAGAAAGGCTAGTTCTTAGATTTTCGTTGTCCATCTACCTGCATTTCTCAACCTCAATACAATTTTCTCTGGTGCATGAACTCTGCTCCCTGTGGGCAGGTGAGGTAGGAGCCCCTCCTGGGGAGACAGGCAGACATAGGCCCTCCCAGGGTTGAAAGAGCCAGTGAAGATGAAGAGGGTTGAAGGTATGCGGTCCAGGGCCCACCAGGTCATGAGCGACCACGGACCACAGCTCAGACGCTGCTGCCGACCCCTGAGCACCCTTGGCCCCTGCTGGCTCCTCCAGCTTCACACCGATCCTGTGCGCCTCCAACATCCTTCTAGTACATTCCCTTCTCAGCGGTTCTCAGAACGAAGTGGACTTACTTGACATCCTTTTTGTTTGTTACTTTTTCTCTAGCAGGTACGTTGCCTAAAGTGCAGAATAGGCTGTTCGATGCTCCTTCTGACAGCACAGTCCAAATCTGACGGTTTCAGTTCGCCTCCATCGTTGCTTCCATTTCTACTTGAAAACTGCAATGGTTCCCCTTTGCCTACTGGATCGGATTAGAAGCAAATGCTTTGGTTTAATGTTTATTACTCTCCTGCCTTAACTTGCTTATGCAGTTTTATTTCCAGAAGGTAAACGCTTTTCTGGGCATGAATGGTGTCCACTGACCTATACTCACACCCGCCTTCACCTCCCATCACACACAGTGCAGGCCTCAATAATTTAAATAGGAATAAGAGCTCATTATTTCTAAAAATGAGGCTTGGAAATAGAAAACAATTGGGCCAGTATTTGTTTTCACTCCAGTGTAGCAGTGACTCTCAAAAGGATTCAAGTGAAAGGGACAGAGTGAAACGAACAGAGTACTCAGATGCAGGGAAGATGAAAATCATTCTTAGGTTAATTCAGAAAATGGCATAATGAGCTATAATTGCATGAAAGCATCTAATGATGAAATCCACTCTGAAGAATTTGTTCCAAGGTTGAGTAAAAGAAAACAATGTGAGTTGATTTTGTTCTTCTTTCCTAGCTCTTTAAGATGTAATATTAGGTTCCTGGGATTTG